GGTGCTTCTGACCAAAGGGAGCAAGGCTGCCAAAGTTTCCTAGGATGCATCATCAGAACTTGCCTTGTTTTTCCCTCAACTTTTTCCAATGCTATTCTTTCCCCTTTGAGCATTTTTCAGCCTGAGTTTTGATGTTTTGGGCAGTGATTGTGACAATCCCTAATGTAGACTTCCATGGTGTCAGGATATCACCTGGTAGCTTTGGTTGCCTAGATTTCAGCTGTGCTGGAAACCAGTGATATCAAGAAAAAAGGCTTAATTTCCTGTTGTTAGTCCCACAGATTGCTTTTCTCGAGTCTGAACTGTTTGGGACATTACTGAGAAAGCACTACAGCAATTTGGCCAACAGTTCATAAGTAATAAGCATAGGAAGTTTTGTGAGTGTCATACATGGACAAGCACAATGCCCCTTACATTCGTTGCATGGTGCTTTTGTTGCCATTGATTTTTCATTATTTAAAAAAGAAGTTGTAGAGTAGTTCCCAGAGCCAATAGTCTGATGGTCTATGTTTTGTTGTGTGAACGCACAAAGACATTAAACTTGTACAAATGCATTATTTAAGCTGTATGACTTCAGCTGGGAAATGCTATCTGGGGTATTTGATACATTCTTCCTTCATATCCTCTCGGAGATCGTTTGCAGGTTTCCATTTGGAAATAGTTCTCTTGTAATAGAACTGTTTTTTAGAGAAAGCCCTAGAAATACTAACGCTGGAACAATGTAGGACTAGGTGATAACTTAATTGCGTTAGAAAAGTGTTTCTAGGAGAGATTAGCAAGATGATGATAGTAGTGTAGAAGAGGAGCTAATACATGCTGTCTACGTGTGATTGGGTTACAGTGTATAAAAGAAGACAGTCTGAAATTGTATAAATGTAGCTATTTTAATGCTATGTGCCTTGTCAGAGTCTCTTTCAAAGCTATAAAAGAAACAACTTTCAATAAGCAATTGGGAGTTCTTGTTTGCATATTGGCATACAAATCATATACAGACTGAAACAGTAGGATAAGGCTATTACACGTGAATCAGTACTCTGAATCTTCTGAGGAGAAACCTGGAAGAGCTACAAAAAAAGGGCAGCAGTGGGTTTGTTAACGTTCTGTGTTGTTGAGATTCGGTCATGAAAGTTTTTATAGAGAAAGATGTCTCAACAGTACTGCACCACAGAACACAAAAATGTAAACATTGATGTATATAGTTAATACGTTGTAGGAGAAGTATAATGTTTGGTAAAAACATTGTTCTTGCATTTGGCGGAGTTGCTGTAGTCAGAAAAACATGCAAAATTCTGTCTGAAATGTTCTGGCTTCTGGCTAAAATTACGTATTTTCTTTAATCCGCTATTTAAATTTCTGTCTACAAAAAAAGATATCAAAGGTCATGGACATGAAGAATAAAAAAAAGCTCTGCAAAAATGTTCCCCTCAATACTGTTGCTTCTATTGAAAGAATGGGCATATTAATACATCTATTTTGAAAGGAACAAGAAAAAGTAATTTTGATAAAACAGTATATCTGAATCTAAACATTTCTATAGCTTTGAAGTATAACTGAGTAGCTGAAAGAGATACCACTATTATTTAGCAATACCTGGAAAATATGTACCTTAGGTTTAGGAGGATTTACTACTAAATGATTTTTTTTTGATAGGAGCGCTTCTTTTCCTCTTATATATGTGAATGCAACTAATAGTTTGGCTTGTGCTCTGACTGCTGCTGTGCTTATGCCAGGTAAGAGCGTACATCAAAATGATCTTGTCTGTGCTAAAATGATCCAGATAACAGAGGATTTTAAATAAGGTAGTCTTTCAGGTGCTTTTATCAGGCTCTTCAGATGATTCGGAATTTATATAGCTTAATCCTAATCAAGGAAATTTCTCTCTCTCAACTGAATGTGAAGCTGATTTGCTAAATATTTTCCTCACTTGTTCTTGATAACTGGGATTAGAACCAGCATAGGAAGTGGCATCTAAAACATCCTTTTTTGTGATCGTTGGCAGGCATCACTGCAATCATCAGTTAAAGGTTGATAAATGTTTTCTGTTTTATTTGTTTGATATCTTCCTATCATACCATTATAGAATAAAACTGCATTTGTTGTTCTTAAATATTGTAATTTGAACCCGAATGAATATCCCTGTACTTTAAAACAAAATTTATTGTTTATTCAGCTAAGCTGGAATAAATTGTTCCCTTCCTATACTTAGTCTGTACTTTGCTTCAGAACAGAAGATACACTTGAAATTCGGTGAAACTTGCCCGTTATTTTCAACAACCTCGCTTCGTCTAGTAGAAGATATCACCTGCTCCTATGAACTTCTCCCATTCTGGGCCAAACCTCTGAATCCCCGTTCATTTTATGCGAACCAGCGTATGCAAAGTAATCTCCTAGGTCTAAGGGGAAAGGCTGGTTCCCTCCTGCGGCCTTCTCCCCCAGTATATGTCCTCCACAGCTGTCTGTGGTCACGGCCCTTTGGAGGAGGATCTCCTTGCACTGGACCCCTGGCCAGTTTTTTAGAAAACCATATGACAAACTGAATGAAAGCAAAGGGAGTAGGTGTATCTGGGGTAATACCTCCATAGAGTTAAAATGAACCTGAGAGGAGTAGGTATCTGTTTTTGAATGGGAAAACAATGATATTGGTTTCTCTGGGTGTCTGTTTTTTGAAACTAAAGAGTGATGCTGTGAAAGGAAGAGAATGGCCCAGTGGTGCTGACAAAAGGGAGGGGACGAACACAAGTGGTCTCCTGTGTACTGTCTGAGCTCTCGCTCCCTATTTAGGTCCCTTGTTTTAGACTATGTGGATATTGGCAGGTGTGGTGTGACAAAGGGATATTTCATGATGAGTTAAATATAGTGATTTGAATATAAAGGCTCCTTGTCAAAATACTAAAAACTGTAGACTTAAAAACCAGACATTTCAGAATGGGAATCTGTAATTAGTAGACGCATTTTTAAGTGACTGGCCTGCCTTGTTCATCTGTACAATAACGGATTCATAATAAAGGATTTGTGGAGCTGGAAAGAACTGCTTATTCTGTTTTTCATGCAGGCGTTCCTCACCTTCTGAATTCTTCCCTCAGCAAGCTTAATAGTAATCTTCCAATCTGAACAAAATATGTATTAATATGAAGAAGTCCATCAAACTTTTCACAGCAGTGCAATTTGCGCTTTCTAGTAGAGATATCATTAAGAAACACAAGACGGACTTTTCTTCTTGGGTGGAACGTTGAGGGAATTAAGGTGGATGTCGTATGGCTTTAGGAAGGGGAATGAATCGTATTGCGTAGGTTGATGTTTGAATTAGAGAGATGCTGGAGGAGTACGGGTATAGCTGGTATACTTTTTATGGTTTTTATGAGCATGAAGTTGAGAATGCTTATGAATTGCAGCCCAGATAAAAAGAGAAAGGTTGTTGTGAGTTTCATGCCTACAGGTATTCAGTATTGTTCTGAACAAGTTTGAGGCAACTGTTTCCTGACAGAGAATAAATGTTGCTTATATTATGTATTTCTCTTTTGATTATTATTATTACTTTTATATGTGTGTTTGTTGTATAATAGCTATCCTGTTTCATGAGCTTTCAGATGAATTCAAGGGCAGCACCATCGTTTTCTGTGGTTTTTATGAGGTATTAACTTGCACGAATCATTAGTCCAAGATGTAATTGAAGCCAGAGACTATGACAGCTGAAAAAGGGTTGTGTGTTTCTAGTGGTATGAAAACTGTCCTCAGTTAAAAAAAAATATGCAGCTAAAAGAATGTATAGGATACTCATCTTTTTGATTAATGATGCGAGCCAAACCCTAAATAGGTTGATTAGGAAGAAATTTCCCCTCCCGGCCAATTTTATCATAAACTTATTATACCGTATCCGTTAGAGACAGAATGCTGGGCTACACTGGGCCACTGTTACATTCCTGAATGGTAATTAAGTTTCTATGAATAATTGATATTTTATGTTAGTTGTGGGGAAAAAATAAAAGAAGGTTCCCAGCATACCAGCTTCCGATCCTATTTTTTTGGTATCAAAGTGAAATGCTGCCCTTCTCCTTTACTATTTTTATCAAAATGAAGCATTCCAGTCAATATGAAATAAGAAAAAATGCATATGAAGGGCTAGATTCATAAAACTGAAGGCAAAGAAGTAATTATCTTCCCCCTTGCAGTAGGTAGCTCTGTGTATAAATCACCTACACTGAAAGAGGAAGTTTTTTTCTCAGGAGATGTGAATTACGTTATTTAACCGACGTTAGCGCCATAGCTACCGTAAGGTAACTATCCCAAGGCTTCTCCTCTTGATGCTGTTTTATTTTGTCTAGTAAATAGAGTGAGTAAATTCAGTGAGCCAGTGAACCTCGGCACTGGGTTGGAGCATTACTCTCTCTTGCTGTCTCAAGGACTATTTCAGAGTGTTCTACAGATGAAAAAGGTTTCACAGGAGGGAGTGTGGAAGACCCAAGTCAAATGTAATATAGTGTTACAGTGATTAGGAAACACATCTGTCAGGTAATCCAGGTTTCCAGGATAAATTAGACTTGAATTTTTAGAAACTTTCTCAAATGCTTAGCGTTTTGCTCTTTGTCAGTAAAGATCTCAGGAACTCCTGTTTCACCTTACAAGCTAAGGCAGATTGCTAAGCCAAATCGTTGCATTAGTTAGGTTCATGAGGGTAACCATGCATCAACTCATCCATTCCAAGACCCTCATTACTCTGAGGCATAAGGTATTAATGATCAGTTCCTCAGGTGATATAATCTGATGTGATTTGAAGGAAAACAGTGAAGTTAAACCCATTTGCCCCAGCAGAGAACTAAGGCCTGTATCATTAATGAAGTACAACTACAAAAGTTAAGGTTTTAAACTTCTGCAACTATCGGAACTCTTATTTAAATGAAAAAGGGATTATTGTGCAAAAATCTGGTTTGTCTGCAATTGACTTTGTCTATTTAAAGTACCATTTTTATAGTTTTGTCCTTGTTTTCTTTTCTGTTCAACAGCACCTTCAGGCTTGAAGGAATATCTATATCTGGAGGCACATCAGTTAATTTCTTGCGTATCAGATTCGTCATTGTGACTTCTTGCAGGCCAGATCTGAAAGCAGCCAGGAACCTGACCCTCCTTGGAGCACAGAGAAGCCCTTGGCATTGGAGCACAAGCGATCACGAGTGGAATCGGCACTGAATCGTCCGTCTCAGACCTGACAGCTATGAGCTGAGTCCTGGCAAAAGCCACAGCCTTAAATCCTGTTCAGTCAGAACAGAGAATCGAAGGGACTAAATGTCTTGCCCTCTTACAGAAACTGCTCTCTCCTAGCCTGGCCCTCGGGTTCGGCACTGAGCAACCAGAGTAACAGACAGTGAGTTTTTCATGGGGTCCAGCCAGCATCCAAAAAATATTTCAATATGTAGCCAAAAGGAAAAATGAAGCACTTAGGGGATAGCAGGAAACGAATGCATTTACTGTAACGGAGGAATGTTGCTGTCTGTGGGGAAAGAAGACCTCTGTCATCCCTTGTATATATTCAAAGCCATACAGGAACAGGACACCGGTGATGTTAAATTGCTCCAAAGGATGCCGTCTCCTGTCCTCCACCCAGATTTGAAGAAGTTCAGCTGTTACAGATTGCGTCTCAATGCACTTCTAGTATTTGCACTGTCACTTCCATTCAGGGTAATGATGTGCGCCACCATTTGCACAGATGGCCCCGGGAGACTTTTGGCCACAACAAGCGATATTTTGCAGGGGCTCCGAAAGGAATTAAGCAGTTAGAACTGAAGACAAGAATTGCTCTCTCTTTCACAGTGGGGATCTGTCCACTGAAAGGATTATGGTTCTTTCTTAGGTTTAAATGTATATATATACATATACATACATCTGTATAGATATATATGTATATATATGAAAAAGCATCAACATGATAAGGTGGATTTAAAAAGGGAATATAATATTTTTTTAATAGCATCCATTTTTTATCATATTAGCAGCCAAGAAATTTAAACTATTGAATTATACATCTCAAATGTTCCTATTTGAACATTGACATTATCCTCCTTGTAACTGTTAAAGAAAAGAAGTCATTTGTAATATGTATTTGACATAGAATTTTTCTAGCCATTTATCTATACTTCATGGAGAAATGTAACAGACAAACAGCATTTTCAGTTTATTTTTCTAAATAAATGTGTTGTTTATATTATTTGCAGTCACTCATTTTGGCTGGTTTTCATTATCTCCAAAAATAATTTAAAGACAGAACCAAAACACAGAAATTGTTTGTTCATGTTAAGCTGTAATGATTTGCAGACCGAAAGCTTTAATATAAATATTGTAATTTGTAAAATGATGAAGTATATTTATACAGGCAAATACGTATGGAAAACTAGAGGAGGTATTTTAACTCTTAATTTCAGAACATAGTTTATTTTAATAGCCACATGAAGAAATCTAAATATATAATGGAATAGGTTTTTTACTTTCAGTAGGTTCTAGCAAGTGAAGATTTGGAGATTTAAGGATGAAAAGAATGTAGTCTAACAGTGGCGGTTTCCCAGATTACACACAAACCTTTTATCAGCTGGCTCACTTTATTCAGGAACTGTTCTTTGGGTTATGTTTTGTGTTAGGGTTTTGTGTTTGGGTTGGGTTTCGCTGTTGTCGTCGTCGTCGTTGTAGCAAAACCGTAAAGATAATACTGTGTGATCACAACCGATGAGAACCTGCAGGATAAGAGATTGTTCATTACAGGCATTTACAGCTAACAGTGAAGAACAGTCATTGTTGTCCATCTACTGGAGTGTTTTGTTATCAAGTCATTGCACATTTCGATGCTAGAGCTGTTTTGAATAAAAATATATATTTTCCTTTGTTCTTAGTCCATTAGCCTGTGTGTAATTTTAAGAGAAAGGTAAAGCATGTGATTCCAGGTTCACTGAAAGTATTCATCTTTCACACCAGCCATGTGTGGCTGGTTTATAAAGCTGAATAGGTTTTGCTTTATTTCCGCTGCCCTATGGAACCTGTTAAATAAGTGCACACTAACAGAGGCGTGTTCTTTCAACAAACAATGGCACATCCAAACCTCTTTTTATCAGTGCGTTAGCCTCGTAATGGGTAGATGTTTTAAATAAGTATTGCCCTGCTCTAATGTACTAACTTGTGCGTGTCTGTGTGCGGGTGTGCGTGCCGTTGCCTACTGACGAATGAAGTGACAGCCCTGCTGAGTAAGTGCCCTACGCCCTGTTACTACAAGATGCTCGTGTTACTGTATTTTTTTGGAGAAATACCTGAGCTCTGCCTTTGCTTGTGCTTCTGAAGCCATAAATGGCTTTGTCGGGAAGTTACCTAATGAAATAATTAATGTTTTCCCCCCTCCCACCCCTCCCATTTCAGCAAAACCTGGGATACCTGGGATCATATCCATTTTATTTTATTTTATTTTTTGTTTTTATTTTTTATTTTATTTTCGCATTCATGCTATGGATAATTAAATCCTTGTATATGCTAAAGGATGATGGCCGTGGTTTGTTCCCACACGTTTTAGGTTAGGGTTGGCTAGGTCTTGTCACTATGACTTCTCATTTTTATGTCATTAGAATCGTGTATTGGGTCACACAACTTGCATGGTTTTGCATGCTCCCTCTTTGGGTAACCTGCGTTTTAAAACTGAGGAACTTACTCTTTCAAATTCAGACTAATGTTCATAGTTGTTTTATGAGGGGACAACCTTATAGAAACAGGAAGAAAATTCCAGAATGATAAGTTGAGCACTTCCAGGATTATCTAATAATGATATTTGGAAAAGCTCTTATGTTTGTTCACAGAAGTGCGTTCATCTAATATTTGGAAATAACCCGATAAAAATCTAGTGAAATAATGCATTACTACCTGCAAACAGTTTTCTGCTATGCTAGCCCAGGTCTAGATCAGCTTCTGTGTGGTATTTGTATTGTACAAAAAACACCTGAAATTAAGCACACAATTTTCTTCAGAAAAACGCAACAGATATGATTGGTAGTGACCTGGTGCCAGGAGAGGTTTTTCGCTATGTGCATGATGGAAAAATAATAAACATACAAAAGCACGCAAGCCTAATTTAAGAGACGTAAATATAGTTGTAAGAGGACGCTGCAAATCATGCTTCTCGTCATCCCCATGCTGCTGGTTACAGCTCTGCATCCGCTGAGCGTTTATGCACTGGAGAATGGAAATTGCAGCAGACGCACGATATCGGAGCCTTCTGTCAGTGGCACGAGGGTAAATCCACATTCCTTAATTTTTGTAGATTTAATGCAGCAAAGTGTTGTGATTTAGATTCAGCTGATGTCTGTCTATTATGCAGATACTCTGCTGAGATAACACTGCAACATAGGAAAGTAAAACTCTACTGGGATTTGAGAAACTGTTGGCAAATAATTAGCACTGAAATATTTTTCATAAAGTTTAAAACCAGAGGAGACTACACTAAGTTTGTACATTGTTGTCACCACGCCCAGAGAACCACCATATTTTTCCCATAATCTTAGGTTAAAGCACTCTGACAAGACCAGCAGAACTTTTTGACTAAGGGCAAAGGTTATGACGACTAATTTTAAGCATCAGGGTCCTTTTGCAGGGTTATAAGGGTGATGTATATAGAGAATGTCTGCAGAGGTGGCTCTAGCATAGCACACTGTTCCGTTATTTAGCATTTTAAAGTGTATCTGAAGCAACCAGTATGCTTGAAATGGTCAAGCATGCAGAAAGAAAAAACACACAATTAACACAATTCTGGACGTGTCCACGAGACATGCTTTCAGCACTTGTATTTCTTTAAGCATGAAGACTGTCCGCAGTTTCTTTCAGTTCATGAGAAAAATAGACATGCGTTGAAATACTTATTTTGTAAAACGGAGGGAAAAGATAGATGAGTACAACTGTGAAAATCTGGAGAAGACCATAATGACCATGTTGCTATTAAAGTGTTTCTCTCCCAGTTCGAACGGTTGCTGTGAGTCTCACAGGGCATGTAACCGCGAGGGACAGAATTTTGTCTCTGAGGAAGATACACACAAGGTCCATAACGAAGCTCTCCAATGATATTGGAAATAAAGCCTATGCACAAAACCCATCCTGGTTCTGGTGCAGGAGGGCATTGCCTGGGGAGGGTGGCAGGCCAGCCGTGTTCCTGCTGCAACATCTGAACGTTTGCCACTGAAGGTACACCAAAGCTCATCCGGAGACAGCTATGTGGGAACAAGCCCGCTGATTGCAAGTGCGAGGTAGGATGTCTCCTCAGGGGTTGAGGTAATTTGCCGGTGAGCCCTGCAGAAGCAGCCTGTTGCTGGGGGACCTCCAGGAGCCCATGGCAGAAGAACCAGAGGCAAGAGCTTCTGGAGGCAAAATTTAGGATGGCGGGAAAGAAGATTGTAAACCCCTATCTCTTCCATAACATGCTCTGAATTACGGAGTGGCTGGGGGGGAAAGGTCAGTTTATCGTGGCTGATTTTAAGTACCATTGTCCTTTTGTTAGTTTATGAGTGATTTCTGTAACTAAGTGTCTAAAGCAGTGGTTCGACAGCATTGGCGCAGCAGACCTGGATCTCTGCAGTGACCTTTCCTGAGTTACGGAGCACCTAGGAGGAAACATTTTGATGTGTAACTGCAAAAACGGTGTAAGGAAAAGGTTCAGCTTCAACAGGAACCGAGGCGACTTTGAGGATGCTGGACTCTATAAAGAAGGGATGACGTTTAAACTAAGGTCACATGTGAGTCTAACGAATGAGTGGGGAAAAGACAGTAGGTGCAGAAGAACATGTAGTTTGAGATTACACACCTACTTGGGTGAAGCTATAGGAATGAGTGAAGGACAAAACAGATCTATAAAAAAATTAAACTGAACAGAGTGACATTCAAATAAGGTACAGTAAAAACCACAAGTTTTCTTGGCGGCTCACTGAGACTAAATTATTAGTTTTCATAGGTTAGATAGCTGCAGATCTCATGAGAGGAAAAGCAGGATCTAGACTTTTGCATAGCGGAGGGCCTGGTTCAAAATATTTTAGCTGAAGAGCCTCTCTAGATTCAACATCCTTCCCCTCCCACACGCACGCGCACACACACACACACTTGTACTCACCTTCAAAAAAGGAAATACATAAAAATAAGAACTCCTGCAAGGAAGAAACTGGAAGTAATCACTGCGAGAGTTAAGTCATGGCACACGGCATGCTGACTGTTTAAAGACACCGTATTGGAAGCACAGGGCAAATACATTGTGCTCAGCAAGGAAGACTGGAGAAAGGGCAAAAGGAAGCCAGCGTGGCTCTAGGCAGCAGGGTAGCACAGACTGTTGAAAGCAAGAAGGTATCTTTCAGAAAGCTGAAGTCTCATGAAGAAAATGGAAAGCACTGTAAACTTTTTACGGTTAAACATATTAAAAAAAAAAAAAACCTACAGCAAGACAAACCAAAATAATTGCAAGAGAAATAAAAGTTAAGAAATCCTGTTTCTAAAATAGCAGCAGGAAGTCTGGCAAAGAGTCTGTAGTGCCAAAAGATAATCAAAGAAAATAGAAGCCCTTAGAAGAAGCTCTACTGACAAAATTATTTTAATCTTTTACTTCTGCTTTCACTATAGACAGGTTTTGGGAGATTCCTGCGCAGGAATTATTCTCTATGGGGGAACTCATCAGTAATAACTGAGTAATAACTGTATAACAAGATAAGATATTTTTCATACAGAAAAGGCTTTTAAAAGTTGAAGCTGGGCAAATCAGTATATCATTTCTATTTGTTACAATTTTGTAAATATAAAATACTTGTGTGTGTCTGTGTCACAGTTTGTGGTGCTACTGCTGATATAAGGCAATACGTTTTGTTTTAAAACTGGTTTTCATCTGTCATTCCTAGAACAATGTTTCCTTCCCCCCCCCCCAATAAGGCCATCTGCTTTCACATTGTCAACTGGCTTTTTTTTTGTTCATTCCTCTATTTCCAAACTACAAATGTCATCTGTGACCTTATAAAACAAACTTAATTCATCTGTTGAAGATTTGTTGCCTGTTGATTGTATGTATTGTCCTTTTCTTTGAGAAGCAGGCATTGTGTGTTGGTCTTGTGTTAACGGTCTTAGTTTAATCTAGCTTGTACTGAATTTATCTTATAAAAAACTTGGTATTTGTTTGGAAAATCTAACTAAAGGCAGTGGCTTTGCTGCAGGCAATTTAAACAGACCTTTCTAAGAACAAAGTCAATTTAGAATATCTTGGGAATGGATGAGAAGTGTTTCCACATACCTGGTTATGATTTTGTTCCACTTAAACTAACCAGGTGATGTTTTGGTGTCACTGAATGGAATCACCACTCTATAACTAACCTTTTCCCAAATGTTTCCACCCTCAGCAAAATTTAGGCAACCTTTGTGACAATGGAGATAGTCTTCGCTCACATTAAAATAAAGTTCTAATTAAGATTTAAAATTACTCTATTTTTTTCTCATTGTATGCAGAGAAGAGCATACAAACCAAGAATGTGAAAATGCAGAGTGGCGAAAGTGAGATCTTTGTAATGTAAAAAGAAAAAAAAGAAGAAAATTCCATTTGTTTGGGATAGGCGCAGTCATACTTGAACTGAAAACATATTTTAAGACCTGTAACTGAGAAACTACTCAATTGCGGCAGGGAGAAGAGTAAAAGGAAATTTCAAGCTGAATGTTTGGTTCCTGGAAGTGAGGCCTCCTAAAACGTGAGTTGATAAATAATAAAAGATAAAATGTGTATAACTGCATTCAAACTTTCAAACTTTTGCTGGAAGTGGAGAGGTTGTGAAAACCTGCATAACTGTGTTCAC